AGGCAAGGGTCTGCCTTTGCCCTCAATTCTGCGGACTCAGGAGACAAGAGACAGGGTGGGGTGGTCTGGGGAGGCTTCCTAGGGAGGAAGTGTGGCCAGCTATGAGCTACAGAGGTATGGGACATCATGCAGGGGGCTAGACTTGAGGAAAATATTGCAAGATGGGCCAGAGAGGAGGGTGTGTGAGGCAGCCCAGACGGGCTGCTGAGAGGCAAGACAGAGCACAGAGTCCAGGGAAGGACGAGGTGGGCCCAGGCTGGTGACTCCTTGTTGGAACCTCTGGGCTCAGCCTAGAAGGTACCTCTGCCCTCGCCCATGGCCTGGCGAGCAGACATGCAGGGACAAGTGTCTCTTCTCCCCACAGTACCCCTATGCCGACCACACAGGTGCACAAGTGGAGCTCCGGCCCACACTGTGGTGCCTCATGAAGCCACCATCTCCCATGCCACTGGGCAGCTCCCATCTCACTAGGCAGAAGAGGCCCAAGTACCTGGTGGCCTGAGTTGGGCAGATCATTAGATACCATCTGTCCAGAGCTGCGTGGTCCATGAAAGTCTGTCCTCCCTGCCCCCATGCCACCACCACAGATGACAGACAGGGAGCCCCATCTGCACCCTATCTAGACCCAGGGAAACAGGTCCAGAGAAGACATGGGGTCAAAGGCCAGCATGCCATGAATCCAGGGCTCTCTCCCTCAGTTCAGGGCCTTGTGTTGTGAGGCGGAGGCTGGCTTCCGGGGCCTGGGTTCGGGGAGGGGTTTGAGGCTCCTTTTTGCCTGTCTTGACTCAGTGAGTGGGTGGGGACATTATTGAGCCATGAAAAGGGTCCAGAGGTGGGCATGGGACAGTGCCAGAGAAGTCTCATTGACCCTTTCACATCTAAGCCCCTTCCCTGCCCCAGTTCCCTGTCTTCTGTGTCCTTTGGAGTAAAAGCCAAGGGCCCCCTGTCAAGGACACAGCCTGTGTGCTCTGGGTCCTTACCTCCTGACCCCCACCCACCATGTCCCCTGCTCACTCCTCCCCTGTCCTTGGACACCAGGCACACTGTGACCTGGGACTTCTGCCCTTGCTGATCCCTCTGCCTAGAACTCACCTTCTTCACATCTCAGCTCTGATGTCCCTTTCTCAGTGAGGCCTTCCCTGACTACAGTCTTGAGAGTCACAGTGGCCTTTTCTGCTTTCTTGGTGCCTGTAGAACTGGCAGCCGTGGGGCCTACTGCGCATCACACACTTGCTGGCCAGCCTCTTGCTGAATACCGGCCTCTACAGAACAGGGACCTCCCCTCCTGCCCACAGCACACACAGTGCCTAGGACCATGTGGCCACAGTGCTGGGACTCAACACCCTCTTGGGGAACAAATGAGTGACAGCTGTGGGGAGGGGCAGTGGCCAGGTGTGTGGGGGCGAGTGAGCAGCCTCCTCCCTAGGGCAGGTCTGAGGCCCAGGGCCCTGGCCTGTCCCCGGAGGAGCCAGCTTCCTGCCTCCTCTGCCTTCAGGACCCCTCCTCCCAGGCAGGGCACACCTTCCCACCTGGGCTCTCAGGCCAAAATACTTTTAGCATTGTGGGCTCTGCTCCAAGCACTGGCCTAGGTATGACATTGATATTGAGCTCATCTGTCTTCATGATAACTTTTGATGTGTCAGAGGGGGTGAATAACCAGAGTCACACAGCAGATAAGTCCATGACCGATTCTCAGGCTCCCGCGGCTTATGGAGACTAGATTCTAGTAGGGGAGACAGGAGTGGCTTCTAAAAGCCGTGTGATAAATAATCTCAAGTGTGATAAGGGCCGTGGAGAAAAATGAAGCCCAGAGGAGGGGTGAAGATTGACAGAGGACCCTCCTATAAGCAGGTGGTCAGGGAAAGCCACTCAGGCCAGGATGCTGTAAAAGGAAGAAAAAATATTACAGGATGGGCCAGGCCAGGGGACTTGCCCTCTGGTGGAGGGGGCTGCTACCCAAAGGCCTGAAGTGGAAATGACCAAGTTTGACTGCCCTTGGCCAGAAAGAAGATCTGGTGGCCTCAGAGAATGAGTGAGAAGCAAGACGCTGGGAAGCCTGGCGAGAGCCAATCGTGCCTGTGGGCTGGGCGTGAATTTGAAGTTCACTCCTGGCTGGAGGAGAGGAGCAATATGCTATGGTTCTCTTTTTGTCTTTGTGGTGCTGGGAATGGACCTAGGGCCTGGGGGAAGGTAGGCAGGTATACCACCCCTGACCTGCACCCCAGCCTCGGCTCCATTTTCAAAAGCTTGCTCCAGAGGCTGTGTGGAGAGTGGGGTGCAAGGTAAGCATGGAGACAGGCCAGCCAGCGGCCACGGGTGAAACCAGGGTAGGCGTGGCTTGGAAGTAGAGCTGCAGGTCTGGGATCCTCCCCAGCAGACGCCCAGAGCTTGCGGCTGGGGAATGAGGGATTGGGGGCCAGAAAAGGTTGGGGTCAGCCTCATTTGTTCCTGGAGCTCCCAGGGGGCTGGTCCCAACCCTGTTCTTCCCTTCCCAGAGGCTCCAGAGAAGCCATCAAAAGAATTGCCTATGAGTTTGTGGAGATGAAGGCCAAAGAGGGCGTGGTGTATGTGGAGGTGCGCTACAGCCCACACCTGCTGGCCAACTCCAAAGTGGATCCGATTCCCTGGAACCAGGCTGAGTGAGTGACAGCCCTGGAGAGGAGCTGGGATGAGGGGGTCTGTGTTCCACTCTTCTTGGAGAAAACTTCCAGGTTTTTCAGAGGGCTGGAGCACTGGGAGCTCCTGACCTTGATCTTGGTCTTGATCTATGGCCTCATGAAGATGGGCTTAACTTGGCCATAGAGATATGGTCCCCCTCCCTCAGCTGGAGGTTCATGATTTACCTTGGACAAAAGTGTTGGCTGTGTCTCACACCCATGGCTCTGGATGCAGGCCTGCTGTCAGGGCAGGCTCACCCACTTAGCCAGCAGCTCTAAGGGTCCTGCTCAATCCCCTGATAGGAATGAGTCTGGCCTGCTCTTCCCCCACACTGGGCCCCCGTGGATTTAGAGTGACATCATGAAGCCCGCTTGCCCCACCTTCAGAGCCTGGATTCTGATCCCCGTGGAAGGCAATAATCCGCAGGCTGAGCTTCGTCATGCTCTCTCTCCACCCAGAGGTGGGGAGGGGTGGCCTACACCCCCACACCCGGATCTAGAAGTGCCCAGACTGCTCTAAGAAAGCTGGCAGGGGGTGCTGGGGCTCGGGGTCCTCTCTGTGAGTCTTTCCTCAGAAGCAGTGGGCAGTGGGGGAGACTCCCCACCCCTCAGCGGGGGCTATCCCAGGCCTTCCCTCTGCCGCAGGCTGTCACTACTCCTCTCCACACAGAGGGGACCTCACCCCAGATGAAGTGGTGGACATAGTGGGCCAGGGCCTCAAGGAGGGGGAGCAAGCCTTCGGGGTCAAAGTGCGATCCATCCTGTGCTGCATGCGCCACCAGCCCAGTGAGTACCATCAGTGCCTGCCCAGCTGCCCACCTGACCCTGGCCCCAATCTTCTGCCTGGCCACGGGGCCGTACGTGGCCTCCTCCCCATGGTATCCCCTGAGCACATCAGCAGGGTCCTGGAGCTCCCAAAGGCACCAGAGGCCTCTTAGGCTGGCCCCAAACTTCCTGGTGACACTGTCCTCCCTGGGAAAACCAGGCCTTGACAACTAACTACATGACCTGCAGAAAGCTCAAAACCAGAGGAGCCTGAACAATTGATAAACAGCCCATAGTTCTCCCATGAGACCCTGTGGGCCCAGCCGCATCCTGTCCAGGCCACAGAACCCTTGCATGGGCCTGATTTCTGGGATTGCTGAGAGGATGTCCTTGTCCCTAAACCTGATCAAATCTGTAGCAGAGCCCCATCGTGTGCCCTTAGGCAGGCAGGTCATGTCACCTCCCTGGGCCTCAGTGATATGTTATCACAAGAGGATTGTGCTCGTCTCATCCCTCCACCCTAAGAATCTGTGGGAACAAAGCCAAGGGTCAGTGCCAACCTGCAGGGCCCACCCTGGGCAGTGATTCACATGCCTTGTCTCTAGCCCTTGCAGCAGCTCTGAGGTGGGACTACCGTGGTTTATTCCCATCTGACAGATGGGAAACCAAGGCAGAGAAAGGCGAAGGCTCTTGTCCCCTCAGGAAGGCACAAAGCCCCGAGTTAAATCCAGAACTGTGTTTGGTCTGAAGCTTGTGTTCATTTATTCTTTGTCAACAAAACGACGATAGCTGAGGGTAACTCATGCATTCATGGTATGGCTGGCAATACCAGTGTGAGTTGCATTGGAGATACAATGTTAAACTCTGTGTCATCCCCTTTAATTGGGGGGACTGATTGGCACTGAGTGGGAGAACAGCTCAGACTCTGTCCTTGGTACTTTATACATGGCCTCGGCAAAGCCTCACCAGGCCCCTGTGTAGAGGTGGTGGGTTCTCTCTGGGAAGGGAGGAGTCCGAGGCGCGGGGCAGAGCAATTTGACAAAGGCCATGTGGGTGACTCAGCAGCCAGGATTTGAGAAAAGACACTAGGATCTTTGTCCTTTGCTAGCCTCTGTTGGGTGCGTAGGACAGCAGGTAGGAGGGCTGAGGGATCCCGCTCCACCGTGCTGCTGATGGAGCCCTGGTGGGCGTCTCACCACAGACTGGTCCCTGGAAGTGGTGGAGCTGTGTAAGAAGTACCAGCATCATACTGTGGTGGCCATCGACCTGGCTGGTGATGAGACCATCAAAGGAAGCAGCTACTTCCCGGGGCACGTGGAGGCCTACGAGGTGGGCCTGTAGAAGGGGAGGCTGGCCCTGGGTGAGCTTCTAGGAAGAACTCACACAGATGGGGAGTGTGGGGCCTGCTGCATCCCTGAATGTGTCTTGGCTGGGCTGGGGGCTTGGGATTGGGTATAAAGGAAAGTCCTATGTAGCACTGAAGTCCTGTGTTTAAACCTGCATCTGCCTATGATTTGCTGTGTGACTTTGGGGCAAGACTGTCTCTTCTCTGAGTCACTGTTTCCTTGGCTCCACACTTGCTGGTTGGCCTTCGTCCTTCTACTTAGCTCTTCTGAGCTTGTTTCCCTTGGTAAGATGGGTGTTATAATACTATGACTCTTAGATGGTGTACACAAACCATTTCAAACAGTTCCCGACACATGGTAACTGTGGAAGAATTGAGAGCCACAAGCACTTAGATGGTGATTGGGGGAGTCAAGACCAGGCTGCCCAGTGCTGTAGAAGCAGCCAAGCCTGGTGGTGGGACAGTTCAACCTGCCCATATTCAAACCTAAAGTGCAGCGAAGGGTGGGCCTGTGGGTCCTGACTGGCTCTTCCCCTTCCAGGAGGCGGTAAGGAGCGGCATCCACCGCACCGTCCATGCAGGAGAGGCGGGACCTGCAGAGGTGGTCCGAGAGGTGAGAGCCACTGGCCCTGGAGTGGCCCTTGTTCCCTGCCTCCCTCCACCCTCTCTCCATACTCAGCTCCATCTGCTGCTCCACAGGCTGTGGACATACTCAAAACAGAGAGGGTGGGACATGGCTACCACACCCTGGAGGACGAGGCCCTCTATAACAGGCTGCGGCAGGAAAACATGCACTTTGAGGTGAGGGGGCCAGCAGGTAGGGGGAACTGGCCTTGGGTGTCCCATCCCCTCCTGGACAAAGCAATAGAAAGCCAGGAGAGTAAGTCTGGGGTTGTGGCTCAGTGGTAGAATGCTTGCCTAGCATGTGTGGGGCATTGAGTTCAATCCTCAGCAACACATTAAAAAAAATAATAATTTAAATGAAATAAAGTTCTTTAAGAAAAAGAAAGAAAGCCAGGAGGGTCTCAAGAGCTGAGGAGCAGACTAGCCGGCAGGAGCGGCCAGTGGGTGCTCCAGTGCTAGGCATGAAGGGTTTGTAGGGCTCAGCCACACGGAGGCCAGCAACAATGGTGACCCTGGCCACCCCAGGGTGCAGGGACTGGCTGGCGCAGCCTAGGGCTGCCTGCCAGCCACGAACCTGCTCTTGCAGGTCTGCCCCTGGTCTAGCTACCTCACAGGCGCCTGGAATCCAAACACGGAGCATGCTGTCATTCGGTGAGGTCTGGTCCCTGGGACCCATTCGATTTTGTTCCTGGGAAGCCAAGGATGGGAAGGCAGTGCAGGGCTGGGGACCAGCCCATGCTGTGGGATCCCTTTGGGAAGCAGCTTAGCTGTCCTCACCTTCCACACGGGGAACCTGGAACTCAGATGTGCTAGAACTTGGCTGAGGTCACTCACTTACCCTCTGGCAGAGCTGGGGCCCATAGCTCCCCCAGTCATGGCAGAAAACGCACAACCTGGAGGAAAACTTCCACTCTCTTCTCCCTGAGCCTGCAAGGTCAGTCTTGCCTGTGTACGCTGCTCCTGGGGCCTAGGGGTGGTCTTGGTTCCACTTTCCCAGCTCTCAAGCCAAAGCCCTTCTGTCCTGTGACTGAGTGCTGGGTCGTGGTGTCAGACTCTGGGAGAGCCAAGCTGCCTTTTCCCGAGGAGGATGAGGACAGCTGTAACTCAGAGTGACTATGGCGGCCAGTGCTGGCCTGCCTGCCACGCTTAGTGAAGGGAAGGAGAGTGTGATGGCGAGGGTCCCCAGTTGGCCTTGGGAATCTGGAGTCGAGGTGCCCCAGTGGGGGCTTTCCTGGGCATGTGGGCAGACAGCCCGCGGGCTACGAAGGCTCAGGAGCCATCTGCACAGTCATGGTGCCTAAAGGGGAAGCAAAGACACCAGGAGATCGTGGGCCAGAGGCTATGTTCCAGGAGGCCAGGAACATTCAAGGGACAGGAAAAAGACACAGGTAGATGGAAAACCAAAAGTGTCAACCAAAATCTAGGGAAAGCACTTCAAGTAGTGTCAAAGTCTGCTACAAAAGTCAAAGTAAGGGGGTCTGGGTTGTGGCTCAGCGGTAGAGCACTCGCCTGCCATGTGTGAGGCCCTGGTTCGATCCTCAGCACCACATAAAAAAATAAATAAAACAAAGGTATTAAAAACTAATAATTTTTTTTAAAAAGTCAAATAAGGGAATAGCTAGGAAAACTCCATTACATTTAATAAGACAGGGGTCAGGTCAGGGATGCTGCCAAGAGGGGAGTGGAGGGAGGGGACTGAGGACTGGTTGGGGAAGGGTGTGAAGCACCATCTCTGAGCATGGGCAGGAGGATGGTGGCTGGAGGGCCACTGCTTTCTCAGCGCCCCAGCCCCCCCTCTCCCTGCTCTCCCATCAGGCCCCTCCTCTGCCTGGCTCTGGACTGATGGGATACATTAGGGTCTTAAGTTGCTAGTTAGGTGGCTTTGGACAAAGTCCCCTGAGCTCTGCGATGTGTTTCCTACTCTACCAGAATATGCTCCTTCAGGTCTAAGGCTGTGACGATCCATGGGGGCTGGGAACCAACATGCAGGGACCATTCACAGGAGAGTGAGGAGGCTCTTCTCCCTCCCTCACCCCAGGTTCAAGAATGACCAGGCCAACTTCTCACTCAACTCAGATGACATGCTCATCTTCAAGTCCACCCTGGAGACTGACTACCACATGACCAAACAGGACATGGGCTTCACCGAGGAGGATTTTAAGCGACTGGTGAGTGGTTGTGAGCTGTCACCCTTGCCCTGGGCCTCAGGGCTTTGTAAGGCCTGCAGGTCATGTCCAGGGCTTGGGACCCCCCAGTGGGTGGGAATGGATTTGTTGATGGGAGTCCACCATAAGCCAAGCCTATTGCCAGCTGCCTTCTGCAGAGGGGACACCTAGGTGGTGGAGTCTTGGGTTTAGCCTCTGCTTGGGCCGAGCATCTTCAAAGACTCCCTTCCCTAGAATGGTGTGCCTAGCTTAGAAATGTATTCTTAGATCCCAGGCTGAGCCCGGGATCCTGGGAACATGATGCCATTACTCCCTACAAGGGTCTCTGGCCCCACACTTCCAAGGATCTCCCAGTCTCCAACATTCTCTACACACCCTGTATCATGTAGTGCCACTTTAAGAACACTCTGCTCTGGCAGTCCGTCCCCTGAGCTCCCCTGCCCGTGCTCTAAGGAGGATGGACTACCAGTAGGTTGCCAAGGGCTCCCTTCCTTGCTGTCTGGTTCTATGTGGTCTGTCACCCTGGCCCTTCTAGAACATCAATGCAGCGAAGTCCAGTTTCCTCCCAGAGGATGAGAAGAAGGAGCTCCTTGACCAGCTCTACAGAGCCTACAAGATGCTGCCAGCTGCCTCTGGTATGCTCCTATCTGGGCGACTGCCTTACCCTGGCTCCTACAACTTTCTGTGACTTCTACTAAGAACCCTTCTTCTCTCATGCAATAACAAGAATGGGCAATGAGTGCCTGGCTCTTGGGCCAGGCTTGGTGACAGCTTCAACCGATGGGTTTATTTCTGTAGAGCCAGCCCAAGGGCAGATTTGTGAAGGCCAGTCCCAAACTCTAGGCATCTCTAAGGCTGTCTAAAGCCAAAGCCCAGGAGTTTTGGACCAGATCCTGGCTCATTCTGCTCCCTCCTTCCTGTGGCCTTGGAAAGGCATCTTATTCTCTTTGCCATCTAAAGAAGGGAGCTCCTTCCTGGTTTTCGAGTTCTCTGAGTTTTATAATATCCTGGGACTGTGAGTGTTGGCCTGATCTTTCTGCTTCTCTGACCTGACCAGCAGGGCAGAACCCCTGAAGACAGCATGGCCCCCTCTCCAAGCCCTCACCCTGTGGATGGAGTCTTCACAACTCTGGAATCAAGCGACATTCTTACCTGTATTCCTTCCAGGAAGACTGACTTTAAGAGCTACTGATGCTCTCAAGCCTGTATAAACACAGAACTCGGCATGGCTGCACCTCTCTTCTGATTATGTGCCTTGGCCAGGGACCAGGGCCCTTGCCAATGGCATGGATGATTCTGAAACCCTCCCTCTAAGGCAATACTTGCTGAAAATCTGGTGTTCAATAAAGCAGCTGGTGTCTGATATCACGCAGCCTGTGGTGTGTGCTGCTGTGATCTCGGGCAGGTGACCTGATGATAGGAATGAAAGGAATCCCTGGGACAAGAAGCAGGGACCAAAGGCCTCATGGAGGCCTCAAATGGGAAGCTGGGGCATCCAGTGCAGGAGCCCAGGTTCTTCCCCCAGAATACACAAGGCTCCCACACTCCCACTCTACTCTAGGATTCCAGGAGAACCATGCTTTTAGGTTCTTGAAGCCATGAATGGGGTGAAAGAGGTGAGGCAGAGGAGGACTCATCAGAGGTCACCACTTAGGAGTGTGCTGGCAGCCACATCTTCTCAGTAGCTCACTGCAAGCCTGAGTGGCAAAGGAGCCCAGCTGACTGCAAACCCTGGAAAACAAAGCTTGCTCCTGCTCTGCTGTTTAAAAAAGAGAGTACCTGAAACAAGTCACACAAATCATTATTTATTTCCTGGGGCCTAATTTTCACTTATCTTGGTAAAAAGGGCACAGAATTGCTCATTTAGTTTTGAGCCCAAATTTCTCTAAAACCAGATCTGCGAAGCTCCGTGTGGGAAAGCCCAGAGCAGCACAGATGGTCAATTGAGCTTAAGATGGCTTCCAGAAAATGTGCAATGATTGTCGGCTCCCTTCCTCTCTCCTGAAAAAAGTTTGAAGTTTTTAAAAAGTTTAAAAGTATTTTTTAAAAAAGGGATAAGAAGGTCTTGACTGAGAAGGCTGGGGTTGGAAAGGAGGGGTGCTGGGGGAATATGGTCCCTGTCCAGGCCCCCCTGAAAGAAGTGTGCCCATGTCAGCTGCTCCCAGGTAGGCAGGATCTGGCCCATGCCCAGTGCCAGCTGAATAAATAACACCCCATGGGTACAGTGACTCCAGATGTGCCTGGGCTCAGTGAGAAGGAGGGGGACAGGTTGGAGCCCAGGGGTGTGGGCAGAGGGCTTGTCCAGAATAGGGCCACGGAGGCCTCTGAGGGGCCTCTCAGGCTAGCCTGTCTGGCCTGGGACATGGGCTCAGAGAAGAGGTTGGGCCAATGCCAGGGTTCATTCTGGAGGGGACAGCAGGCTTTCTCCAGCCTCCATGGATGAGGCTGGACTCAAGGTGAAGCAGTCCCATCGCTGCTTTCAGGTGGCTTGCCGGCCTCCTTGTCTGCGGTGCTGGCCTCTGCCTGACCTTCTGGAAGAGAGAAGGAAGAGTGCATTTTCTCAGGCACTTTTACACACATGGAAAGCACAGAAGGGAACGGCTGGCAAGCTGATAATGGCGGCTAGCCCTGTGGAGTAGGATGAGGATGATGGTGGCCAAAGGGGACTTCAGCCTGCACTGTAATATCTTACATCTCACCACATAAATGCAGTGTCACTAGTGAAATTAAAATTCAATTCGAGCCAGGTGCGTGGTGCCGCACCCAGTGGCTTGGGAGGCTGAGACAAGAGGATTGAGAGTTCAAAGCCAGCCTCAGCAGTAGTGAGGCACTAAGCAACTCAGTAAGACCCTGTCCCTAAATAAAATACAAAAGAGGGCTGGAGATGTGGCTCAGTGGTCAATAGCCCCTGAGTTCAATCCCTAGTACCACCCCTGACCCCAAAAGAAGAAGAAAAAAAGGTCAATTAGAGGTCAGGATTGTGCACCAGTGCTAAGAGCACAAGACAAAAGGCTACCGAGGGTCAATGCACCTGCGCAGTTTCCCAGAGGGAGTAGGTGCCGGTACAGGTGCTTAGCAAATGGGAGCTGGTCCTGAAGGCACTGAACCAGGCCAGCTGAGGAGTGCCAGGGATGGCCTGCATCACGGATTGGGGGGTCTGATGGCACATCCTGGTGTGCATCACACTGCTGGTGACCTCTCCGATTCCTTCACCCCATCCAGCTAGAAACCTGGGCTGGGTGGGGATGAGGGCAGCAGCAGCCTAAGGAGCCACTTGTGCCATGAGGCGGGTGTGAGCTGGGTCTCCTGACTCCCAGCTGCTTTTGTCCCACTGTGGAAAGTGGAAGGGGAAGGCCCTGCCAGCACCCCCTTCATCAGCAGTGGAGGTGAAGTACCACTCACTCCCAGTACTCCCAGTCTCTGTGTCCCCGCTAGCAGGGCTGGTGTGCATGCAAAGCTCAGTCAGTGGTACAGTTTGTTCTTTTCAATATCGAATGAACCCAGGGCCTCCACGTGTTAGGCGAGTCCTCTACTACTTAGCTCTACCTCCAGCCCAAGTGACGAACTGTGAAAAGTCACCAGGTGCCCTCCAAGCTCACTAAGGGCCTGCACGCAAATATAGTCCCATAGGACACACTTGCATCTAGGGCTCTCAGGCTAAGCCCCACCTGTGACTAAGGAGATCCCCCCCCACCAACTCTATGCTAAGTTATGGGCTCTGCAGGCCACAGGCCCTTCCCCACACAATCCACATGGTGACCTGCAGGTGCAATTACGGTTATGATGCGTGTGAAAAAATGGCTCAGAGAGGTGAGCTGCCCTGCCTGGATCAGGGTGGAGAGCACCTTCTTGCTGCCAGACCTGGTAAAATCCACCCTCTAGGAGCACAGTGCTCTGCAGTCCACCAAGGCCAAGGTCTGCATAACCTCACCCTGCCCTCAGGCAGCTTCAGGACAGGAGTGCTAGTTAGGTGGTGACTGTATGGGCAGAAGGTGGCTGTCTGGCTCTCCAGCCAGTTCTGACCTCTGTCCCTAGGTTCCCTTGCATCCTGTGATTGGATCTAACAAGGGCCTGGCCCTTCAAGGCTCCTCTGGCCTCCAGAAGCATGACCAACTAAACGGCACTTTAGGTGACATTTCTACCATGTGACGCCTTACTTGGCTCTGAGCTTCCTGCCCTGGCGAACAGGTCCCCCCTGTTCTCTGCTCTGCTATTCCTCTGCTGTGGGACCTCAGACAAGTCACTTGATCTCTTTACACTCTGCCTCCTGAGCTATAAAGCAGGATGGTGACACTCCACTCAGACCACAGGGGCTGGGGCCGTCCACAATCATCTGGCATGTGGGAGTGGAATAGGCTCAACCATTGGTGGCTTCATCTGTGCCAGCCTTGGGTCCCTGGCCAAGAGAAGGCTCTCCAGCACTTCCTGTTGCACTAGCACCCCTGGCCTCCCTCAGGAGCAGCTGCAGAGTGGGATCAGGAATGCTGACCATGGAGGGCAAGCATTGGCTTCTCCACGCCTGGCCTGCTGCTTCTCTCATTATTAGGCAAAATAAGGAAACATCTGTGCTCTCTACATAGAAAATACCAAGAAAGACGGAAGGTTTGTGCACAGCTGCTGCCTGGGCTAACATACATGAGCAGGCCCCAGACTTGGGGAGGCCGGGCAGCCCGTCCTAGAGCTCCTTCCCAGCCCTGGCTGCGTATTAGCCTCCTGGAAGCTTTAAGCAGCAGAGGCTGCTCTGGGTCCCAGCATGGGCCTGTTGGGTCAGGACCTCTGGAGTAGTGCTTGGAGGCTCTGACTCAGTGAGTCCCAGGACTTAGCTCAGTCCAGACCCGCCTGATGACGCTGCTCACTGAGGCCTCCTGTGAGGGATCCTGGACAGTCACTCCTGCCTGGACCCCACTGTGAGTGCTTCACATTCTTACAATGTTCTGTCCTCATGTCCTTCCAAAAGGTCAGTCACTCTGGCAGACAAATGTCATATACTTAAGGACCCAGACACTTCAAGGATTCTGAGTCAGACAGTACAGACCATGTTAGAAGGACCTGGGTACATGGCAGAGCAGCCACAAGGGCTGGAATGGGGGGACAGACAAAGTTTACCAGAGCTGAGGGGGAGGACACAGAAGCCTTTAGGGAGCCCCTGGCAATGCGCCCAGCATGACAGTTGAGCATGCTGTCCGTTCAGCTGGCAGGGAGCAGCCATTGAGTAAGCATCTTCCACGTGCTGACCACTGCCAGGCACCGCGAGCACACTGGAGCAGCTTGGTGAAGGGGTGGGGGGGCAGCTGTGGTAAGGGGTCTAAGGAGGTTGCCCACACAAGGGGGTCTCTCTCTGAGGGGGATGTGGTCAGGCAAGGCCTCTCAGCAGAGCAGGTGTCTTCACAAGTGAGAAGCAGCCAGGCAGGGGAGGAAGGAAGAACCAGACAGAGGAGCTGACAGGGCAGTTTTGAAAACAAGCAGTACTTTCCTCTGGCTGGATAGGGAGGAAGTGAGAACTGAGGCTGGAGAGGAGAGCAGGATGGCAGCTGAGGTGGTGTCCACACCTGGGTAAGGCACTTGGGCCACATCACCAGGGAGAGCCTGCAGACCTTCAAACAGGAGGCGTGGGTGCATGGGGTTCCTGCAGCAGGGGTCAGGGGTTCTTTCTCGAGGTATAAAGACTATTGGGATGACCCTGAGCAGGCCACCCAGCAAGTTAATATAGTTCTCTGGACCTCAGTTTGTCCACCTATAACATGAGTTAGGTTCTGAAGTCTTCTGTTTTGTCCCTATAGGTCATTTCTGGGCAGCAAGGACCAAGAACTCTAGGCTGGGGCTCTACAGAGCAAGGCAAGACTATGGCTTCCTCCTGGCCTCTTCGCACCCACTCCCACCCCTCCCCCAGCTTGTTACTGTAGCCAGCAGAGTTCCTTCTAACCATCCTATAAGCATTGCCCTGGAGAGGTGGGTGCAGATAGCCCAAAGCTCCAATGCCCTGTGGGAAGTGATGTGATAGTCATGACCTTGACCTTGGAGGTTCTATGGAAGCCTTTCTCAGAGGAAAAGGCCCTAGCCAGGGCAGGGGCCAGGGAAGGATTCCCAGAAGAGCCCAGAGCAGACAGGGTGGACCTGAGCCCAGCAGGGTTTTCTGGGAGGATGGAGGGAGACACAGAGGAAGTGGAGTGTCCCAGACAATACTTGAATAGTGCATGTGACCTTTCCTCTTGGCCTGTGGTCACCAAGCACCTGCTGTGTGCCAGGCAGAACAGGCCCCTGCTATTTCAGAGCTTCTACAACAAATGAGACCTTGTCTGAGGGTGAGGAGAGTCACATGGCTGGGGAGGAGGCTTTAGCTGTTAGGGGCGCCTTTCAGAGCATCTGCCCTCTGAGCTTGGGACCAAGGACAAGAGGACAGCAGCCCCAGCTCCAGGAGAGGGGAGGGAGATGTTCTAAGCTGAAGATGGGTAGAAGGGACCCTGCTGGCTGTAGGGGTGGGCTGGAGAGTGGGGGAGTGGGTACAGGGAGGCCAGGAAGGTGGGTAGTGGCCAGCGCCCAGTGGAGGGAGCTGGATGTATCCTGGAGGAGAATGACAGGACCGGTGAGTGGACTGGGGAGAGGGAAGGGAAGTGCCCTGGATGCCTGGCCAGGGAGTCTCTGGGGCCTGAGATGCTGGCACTGCCAACCGAGAGACTGGCTGGTCTCTGCCACTGACTATCAGCAGGCCTGACTGGAGTGCAGCTGCTTCTCTGAGGAAGAACGGTAATCTGGGATGCGGGTGCCAGCATCTCCCCTGCCAGGACCACTGGATCTGACCTGCCCCCTCAAGTGCCAGCTCGCCCATGTCTGCAGCCAGCTTCCGCACGCTCACAGCCTCTGAGTCACCCTGGATGTCAGGGACGGCATTCCGACGGCCCGTCCGGTCACAGGAGATGAAGTCCGAGTAGGAGGACTCGACCTCCATCATGCTTGTTGCATCGCTCCTCAGGCCTGTGGGGACACGGGGCAGGAGGGCAGAGGTGAGGCAGAATGACAGCTACTGCCTTTTTCACTGCAGACAGAGCAGAAAGCACAGAAAATACAAAGAACAAAATCAGCCACCTGTAACCCCCGACACAGCCAACCACCACCACCATCTCAAAGAACACAGCCTTTATTCTAAGGAAACATTGACACACTTATCAGTATCATGTGCCAGGCACTGGCTAGGTGCTATAGATGTAGCAGCAAACAAGTAGGCCATGGTCCCTGCTCTCACAGGACTTACGATCTACCAGAGGCGGCATCCAACTACCCAGCACCTACATCAGAACCACAGTGCACAGCCCTGTGAGGGAGAATGCAGGGTGCTGAAGTGACTGGCAGGACCTGACCAAGGCTGGAGTTGGCAAAGCGACATGAACAGACATTTAGATGAAGAGTGAGAGGAAGAGCATCACAGAGAAGGAACATCTTCTCTGTGATGCACCTGTGAAGACTCTGAGGAGGGAGGGTATGGTAGGCTGAAAAGCAAAAGAGCCAGCAGCCTGGAGAATGGTGGGGCAGGGACACTGAGGACAGTGCTGAGGTGGGCAGGGGTCAGACCACATCTGAAACTTGGACTCTGAGGGGTGTCAGGCCAGGTTATGAATGATTAGCTGTGCGTTTCAAAGATGACTCAGGGTTCTAGCTGGAGCTGGGCCTGGAAGGAAGGAAGTCGGGAGACTTCCGCTCCGGTACAAGAAGACAGTGGTGGAGCAAGGCGGTGGCGAGGCCGACTTGAGATGTAATTTGGAGGACAAATCCATAATAGTTATTGTTTGATGGGGAACTTAGGTTGCACTTGAATAAACAGGTGGACAGCGGTGTGGCTTCCTCAACAGGGAATGCCAGCAGAGTATCTGGGGAGTGAAGGCGAGTTCTGGGGGTGAAGTTAAGAGTTCTAGTTAGTGACGCCAACCTTGTATGGCCTGTGAGCCCTCCCAGAGGACACAGGGAGTAGATACAGGGACCAAAGGGGCTGGCGCTCAGAAGAAAGATGGGGTATAAAGGGAGGAAAGAGATGAAAGAAGAAATCATTACTATTGAGATGGGGACTAACAGCCCTCATTGTTGAGGAACAGCCTAGGAGTGAGAAGAAGACAGCCACAGCTGTAAAGAAGAGCCATATACGTTAAGAAGCATATGGCCCTGGGCTTGAAACACACCCCAAAAAAAATTATCTGGGGATCATACTACACATTGTGTTTTATAGCCTATTCTTTGGAACAAAGACCTGACTCTCTCTCTGAGCCTCTAGTTCCCCATCTATAAAACAAAAGCAGGGCCAAAATTCTGTGTAAGGCGATTTCCCCTTCTATCCAGAAGATGGCGCACCTTGCATATCTTTCTTTGCTGCCTGAGGGGTGGGGGTTCAGGCTCCTCCTCAGCTAAAGGAATTCCCAGAGGCAGTTCCTTCTGTAGGTCACAGTTTCACTTCAACCCTCTCCCTAGGGAGAAAATGCTCAAGTCTTCATATTAGGAGAATGGGCTGCTGTAATAATGGTAACAATAGCATAACCACCAGTCCAAATTATGAGGACAATGCTAATAATAGCAAAGGTAGTGTGACCAGGAATTTATGCTTTGTATACTTCACTTAATGGCTGGCACAGAGTCTGAGCTAAGTTTACAAGCCTGAATGGGAAGGGCCTCAGCAGACCCTCTGGGTCCTAGGCCTAGGCTCTGCTCCCCTTGTACCTGCTGCTCATGAGAAGGGTCTGACCCTGTCAAGCCACTCTGTCCCCTGAAGCCCTGGTTTCTTCAGCTCTTGTTCTCTGGTTAAAGTCAGCTCCATGAAAACAGGAAGCTTCTCACCATGCAAACAGACAGGACCAATCCCAGCAGCTGTGATCTGGCTGCTCCATCCCTGGACACTCCTAGCAGCACCTGGGGGAGAGCAGCTGCTCTGTAACCGCTCCCAGGATCACATTTCATCTGTCTATCCATCCAGGCATCCATCCAGCCCCTCTGCCACCACCTCTCTAGGGATGATGGACTGTCTCCACTCAGGACCTGGGAAAGGTCTGCATCCTGCAGAGTGCTGCTCTTCTTGTCTGGTATCTCCAGGAGAATACCTTGGGATGGAGTTACAAGCTCATCTAAAAGGCTAGCCTCACTCCGAGACAGACACCCTGGGGCTTTGCCCCGCCTAACCCTACAAGCTTCCCAGGACAGAAAGCTGCCCATCCTGGCACAGAGAGGGCACTCTGACAAGCTCAAAGCCCAGTCCTGGAACACACCCACCAAGCCATCTGGAGCTCACTCAGCTGCCCCCTCCCCATCCCTGCAGGGCCCTGGGAGCCCTCTGTTCCAAAGCACCAGTGTATTAGATTCTCATTTCTCTTACACATTTGTGCTCATATGTGCTCATATTCTGCTCTTTAAAGTTAAAAGCAAATGGGAAAATAAAAGAAAGAATCCTCAGAGTGGAATATTGTGCCAGCAAATGGTCACTCTCATTTTAGGGGTTTTGTTTTGTTGTTTGTTGCTGGGGTTGAAACTCAGGGCATCACACAAAGAAAATGGTTCTTCTCAAATCCTGTCATTGAGAGTGTAAACTACCAAGGACTTCTTTAAAAATGGCTTAACAATAGGAAACAAGAAACCCCAACTTTCTTAATATCCTTGAGCCATTAAGTCAGTTTATAATAATTTATTATAAGAAAATAATCCCAGTTGTGCATGAAAATAAATGTACAAAGATGTTCATTGCAGTAATATTTAAAATTCCAGAACAACCAACTGTAAAATGGAGAAATATATAAATATGCTAATTTATATTCAAATGAAGTATCATTCAGGTATTATGATGATTGTGAATTTTGGGGGGGGGGTGCCATGGATTAAACACAGGGGCACTTAACCACTGAGCCACATCCCCAGTCCTTTTTATTTTTTGAGACAGGGTCTCACTAAGTTGCTTAGGGCCTTGCTAAGTTGCTGAGGCAGGCCTTGAACTTTCGATCCTCCTACCTCAGCCTCTCAAGCTACTGGGATTACAGGTGTGTGCCACCATACCCAGCAATATTTTTTAAAGATATGAGGAAATCTTCACATATATTGTCAAATGGAAAAAAAGCCTCAATTGTATAATCACATATTTAAATTGAGTAATTTTTAAATCTTTTATATTAAATTTTTTTTACATAAAAGCACTCATATAATTTTTAATTAATTAATTAATTAATGTGGTTCTGGAGACTGAACCCGGGAGCTCACACATGCTGTCATTGAACTATCTCCTTGGCCCCTAAATAATTTTTGACTATGTGAGAAAGTGGCATAAAGCTCAAAGGGTACAAGAGGAAAGACACAAGTATTCAGAATCCTCCCAGCCTACCCCAGACACCTTCCCCACGCAAGCCCTTTCTTAGATCCTTCCAGTCTATGACATCTCCAAATTCCCTCCTTCTTTCCTTCCCTTTTCTTTTATTGAAAACAATATTTTATTTTCCATCATTCTTTTTTTCAATTAAAAATATGTCTTAGAAACAATCTCCAATCACCTTGAAACCACTGTAGTATGACTGTATCAAGACACTGGAAATAAATCCTAAGTCCTTATAGAGCTAGATTGTTCTTCCTATTGGCTACAGGATATTTTGTTGTCTCTCTACTGTAGAATGATTTAATCTCTTTCCTACTGATGGAATTTTTAAGAAAAATTCCTCTTAGTTCATTTTGTGCCACTAAAACAAAATATCTGAGGCTGGACAATTTATAAGGAACAGGAATTTCTCTCAGTTCTGAAGGCTGGGAAATCCAAGATTGAGGTGCGAGCATCCTCAATTTGGGGGTTTTGAGGTGAGGGTTGCTGTCTGCTTCCAAGATGCTGCCTTGATTGTTGTGTCCTCCGGAGGGGAGGAACAGTGTGCCTCACATGTAGGAGGCAGGTAGAAGTGACAAAAGAGGCAGCCCCCGAAAGCCTTTTATAGGGGCATCTAACTCACTCACAAGGAGGGATCCTCAGGGCCTATCTTCCTCTCCACAGGATCACAGGGCAACACCTGGAAGGTGAACAGACAGGTGCAAAGCACAGCTTTCCCTTCACTGCTCTGTTTCATGGGTACCCTATCCATGACATTTTGTATGGGTTTGTTTGTGACATGAGGGTGACAAACAGGAGCTGGTTCCTGTAGTCTGGGCTGTTCTCGGGAGACTCTGGACAGCTCCCCTCACCTCAGCAACCTGGGAACAAAGCAACATTTAGGAGACAATGATGCTCCAGAGCCTGGTCAGGTGGGGGAGCGGAAGAAGCACGTGATTAATAGAACATTACTCTGGTCCACTTGAGGGGGGAGAGACTGGGGAAACTGACCTTCTGATGCTTTTCCTCTGTGCTTAAAGGTGCCATTGAGACCAGAACCTATGGGTCCTTCTTCAGTGCCTCACTGAGACCCTTCCCCTTGCCCAGCTTCCTTCCCCACATCTGAATAAGGAAAATTGAAATGTGAGCTTTAAGTCCCTCCCACCCTTGCCAACTCATTCATTCACCGACCACTAACATCCTCTTCATGCCTTGCCAGGTATAGGACACACCAGAGCCCAAACAAGACATTTATAGCCTGCTGCTAGAAGAAGGTAAAGAACAAGTAAATTCCTCAATTGTGGCAGGAGAGTGTTCTGCTGTGTGGATGGTTTGGTTAAAGGTGGCATGGTCAGGGAAGGCCTCCTTGAGGAGGTGACTTTGAGCTAAAATGACAGAAAAGGTAGAGTGAGCCAGGAGCCAATCCAGGCAGAGCCCAGAGTCAGTGAGGCTGACATCGCTCACTTCAGCTTGAGCCTCCCGGGCTGCTAAGGAAAGAAGCCTCCTCTTCCTCATCTCTAGGAGGCGGGGCCTTTGTGGGGTCTGAATGCTGGTGGGGCATCTGACTGACCTTGGACGTCCAGGATAGAAGGGAAGGTATCCATGCACTGTACCCTGGCTCTTAGGGTCCTGCAGGTGCTCACTCGGGCATATCAGGCTTCTCCACAGGAAGCCACTGTTCCCTTGGGTCCTACTATTCTCCCCAGCTTTGTAAACTGAAGAGACCCGGACTCTGCCAAGAGCTACATGGTGTGTTCCAAGTCGGAGCTAGTAGCCCCCACTGCTCAGGCAGATTCCATGACACTTCCAAATTGTTTTCCAAATATACTTCAAAGGTCATTTCCTGTTTTTTTTTTTTAAGTTAAATATTTTCAAAAACCACGCAAAAAGCAAGCAGACTTTTGCAGAGGACACAGCACAGGAGGGCGACTTGGTGCTGTGACGGAGGCCTCCTTGGGATGGGCCAACGCTCCATGAGGCTTCTCTGAGAGAAGAACGGGCTGTGGACACCTGAGGGCAACACCAGGGTCTACTGAACCAGCCTTCCCCACATTCAAAGAGAGCAGCGGCTTCTCTCTGGGATGGGAGGCCAGAACCAAAGAGGCACTAAGACGGGCAGAAGAGGCAGGGCCCAAGCGCCACACGTTCTGAGGAGCCAGGGCAGGGCAGGGCTGCTGGCTGTTGCCATGTTCAGCCCGCTGGCGGCTGGCACCAAAGCTCTCTCTAGTGCCCTAGGGACACATCAGCACAGCTCCACCAGCACAGGGCCTGCTGCCCATTCAAAGAGTGGCCATGGGTGAGGCAGCCAGCTGGGCCCTAGCCTGCACACCTAGAAGGCCCAGAGCCCTGCAGAGAGGCAGAGCAGGGCAGGTAGCAGTGACAGCTGCTTTGGGAGGTGGCGTGGTAAGAAGGGGAGGCTGGGAGCTGGAGCCATTCAAAGCTCTCAGTGAATTCCATGTTGCCAGTCCTCAAGTCAACTGTCTGTCCTCTTCTGACTGACTTCTCCTCAGACCTCGAGGGCCACCAGACACCACACTCTCTGGCTTCCCTCCAACCTCTCTGGCCACTACACAGTGGCCTCCTCCTCTGGGGACCTTTCTGTCAGAGCCCCTCCCCGAGGACCATAGTCTTATTCTCCATGTGGTCCCCGGGGTAGTTCTTAGCCTATCCCTTAAATAGTGTACATTGTGACCCCCAAGAACTCCAGACTCTCTTAAGACTCTGCATTTGTGACTAACGGCCCCTCTGTGTGGCACTTGGCTACGTCATCAGCACTGCAAGCTTCACCTGTCAAGCCCCAGCCTTCGCCCCTCCAGCCACCCCAGCTCAGTGAAGGCACCACCAGCCGCCCAGGCTGCTGGAGCTAGAAACCTGGATCTGTTCTTGATCCTCCTCCTCCTTCACCACCCACATACAATTCAGTTTGTCACCAGGTCCTGTCATTCCTACTTGGAAAACAGAGCTTAGATCTGCCCAGCTTTCCCCTCCACGGGCACCACCTGGCTCCCATGACTTCTCACCTGGACCCCTGCAGAGCCCCTCACTGCAGTCCTGCTTCTCTCCCCCTCAGCCCCCGATGGATTCCTACACAGTGCCAGAACGATGTTCTCAAATAGAAACTGGGCCACGTGATACCCGTGCTTCATTCAACCTCTGATGCTTTTCTATTCCATACTGAGCAAACTCCAAACTCTTAAGCCAGCCCCGGAAGTCCCACAGTGATCTGGCCCTACCTCCCTTTGCACTCTTTCCTCTCATTTTCTCTCTAGGCCCATTTTGATCTGGCCATATGGGTCTCTCTTTAATTCCTCAAACATTATTATTTATTTAGGTAGGTAGGTAATAAATAGACTGAAACCAGGAACACTAAACCACTGAGCCACATTCCCAGCCCTTTTCATTCTTCATTTTGAAAAACGGACTTGGGGCTGGGGTTGTGGCTCAGTGGTAGAGCGCTTGCCTCGCACGAGGGAGGCCTGGGTTAGAACCTCAGCACCACATAAAAATAAACAAATAAAGATAAAGATGTCATATCCATCTACAATAAAAAATATTTAAAAAGGGAAAAAGGTCTCACTAAGTTGTTTGGGGCCTCACTTATTTGCTGAGGCTGGCCTCAAACAGGAGGCTCACCTCCTGCCTCAGACTCCTGAGCTACTCTGATTATAATGTACAGCACCATACCCAGCTATATCTAATTCAATTCCTGACCTCAGGGCCTTCACTAGAGTAACCCCCATGCCTCCAGCATTCTCTACACCCTGCTCTCTACAGAGTCTGGTGGACACAGAGTACATAGGTGGAAATCTGGCTTTGGATTTTTCAAATGTTCCTGCTCTAGGACTGGCAGGGCCTGAGGTCTCCAGAGATCCTCTGCCTACCACTATTGCAGGCCAAGGAGGCCCAGGCTCAGACACCTGGAGGCAAATAAGGTGGACACAGGAAGGGCTTTGGAGTCCCAACCTCTATCCCATAGCCCACGGCTGCTGGGAAACCCCTGGCACTGATGACAATTCTATGAAGGGGTGGGGGCGGGGGCCGACAGCTGCCTTAAATGTGGCTGTGGGGATTAATCAGAGCCCACCTTTAGGGAGGGATACTCCATGCCAGGCTGTGCCAAGCATCTTACAGCCAT